ACGGTACCTTGTTCCTCTATTTTGATATAATTCCTATGCTTGTATATTAATTTTATTTCTCTCAGTAAAGTTTTAAAAAAAAAAGTAACTCCTGGGGCAAATAATAACAATTTTTAGTTGGGTAACTAATGACAAGTCAAACTTTTTTAATATTTGAATATGATTTTTTTAATTTATTTGGGATTATATAAGATTAATCACAAGGCAAGATCTAGAATAAATGTGATTTTCAATATGAAATACTAGCAAATAATGTTACTACTATTATTTATCAATAAATAAAAACTTACATATGGCAGAGTATAGAAATTAATATAAATTACCTTATTTAATCAAAATGTCAAAAGAAAGATCGATTAAAAATGAAGAATTATGTATTTTGTAATTGTTTCATAGGGTGTCACTATTTACCCATAGGGTGGGACAAATAGTGACAAATGTAGGTTTCAATTTTTATGAAAATCTAGTCCGTATACATGACTTATGGAAACTCTAATTAAGTTTTTTGTATATTTGAAAGTGGAATGTACTCTTTTAGTGAAAAATCATATCCTGTAAACTTGAAATTAGCTTGTAGAGGAGAGAGGAAAAAATCCGTTACTATTTGCCTCCCCCCTTCCCTTAGTATATTTTCGAAATGATAATCACCTGAACGGTACAAGAAACTTTGACGTGTTCAAAAATTATTAAATATGTTTTTTAATACAGGATCCGCCGCTAAAATTCGGACAAATTTAAATTTGAAGTTCCTGTCTTATTGACTTTATCGGTAGGTCATTATTGATGTTTGGGCAAGTCAGATGTTTGTAATAAGCGTGCATAACTTTAAAATGTCGAAGCAAATAAGATTGAGTACGGAATATAACCGAAGTGGCAATAAAAAAAAGCTTTCGTGCTTAAAATTCGCAGACTGAAATTATTCGATTCTTCGAGTAGACCGAGATCGACCGTGTGTGATGTTGCGACTAAATATTTGGTTTCAGAGACGTCTGAAAAAGGATCCAAGAATATCCCCATAACAGCTAGGACGAAGGTCTCTGTTCACGTTCTAGGTGTCGTTTTCAGTGAGGATTACGTCATGCCGCCACATTTCTTTCAAAAACTTGAAACTTCGTCCTAGCTATTATGGGGATATCTTCGGGTTTTTTTAGATCTTTGAAGTTAAATATTTAGCTGCAACATTATACACAGTCGGTCTCAGGTACTTGAAGAATCGAATAATTTCAGTCTGCAAACTTTCAGCGCGAAAGCTTTTTTTTATTGCCACTTCGGGTATACTCCGCACTCGATCTTATCTGCTCCGACATTTTAAAGTTATGGTAAATGTTCACCTTTACACAGTCAGCCCCGAATGACTTCCGACTGATTTTGATCTTGACCTTGACCCTTAAGAAGTTTAAGGCCACTAACGTTTCCCGTCGCTCATTATTTATTAAAAAGTTATTAACATAATAAGTTATATATGCTCATTTAATCGTGTGTCATGTTTATGGGATTTAGTGGATTATTCGTT